CTAGGAACTAGTTCCTTGACATTAACAACTCCTCATCCCTTCAAGCATGTAAATGGCTTGGTAGAGGGAGTGTGATGGGAATTTTGCAAGTAGATTTCTTTGGCAAACATGACTGCTCTGAATTGAGACAGAGAAGAGGGATTCAGTAGTTCCCCTTAGTCCCCTGCAACAGGCAGGTCTAGTGGACTTGTGTCTGGCTCTCATCTGAAACACAAAAGGCAACAGCAGGGCTGGCTAGCTGCTTTGGTGATGGAGTGAGAAAGGTGCTCCTTGGCTTGAGTCAGTCTGCATTCCCCAAATTTGCCTGGGCAAAGAATCCATGAGTGTTTCTTTGGCTCAAATACAGCCAGATGCATACAAAGGAGCTGGCATGGGGTCATCTTATATTGTCTCAAGTAGAGTTGGGTCATTTGGAGAGGTAAACACGTTTCTTTACAGGAGAAGCTGGATGCTGCTTATTTGGCCATTAAATGGAGGTTAATAAGCAACTCCCAGAATACAGTGTATTCATAGATCAAAGGAAATCAGCAGTGATGGGGTAAGAAAATAGGTTTGCCAAAGTTCACATGAAAGCCATCCATGAGAAAGAATCAGCTTCAAATATCCAGCAGGTCCAGAGAGAGCAAAGCATTCTAATAACAGTACCAGTTAAGTAAGGGCTTTCTGTTCCCTTCCTTTTCTATCTCCCCAAGCTGGAGAGGATCAGAAAAGCAGTGAGTGAATGGGAGTGTGTAATTTGTTAAAAGTCCACCCTTTTTGGGCGCCTGGGTGGCTCAGTTGGTTAAGCGACTGCCTTCGGCTCAGGTCATGATCCTGGAGTCCCGGGATCGAGTCCCGCATTGGGGGGGGGGTCCCTGCTCAGCGGGGAGCCTGCTTCTCCCTCTGACCCTCCCTCCTCTCATGTGCTCTCTCATTCTCTCTCTCTCAAATAAATAAATAAAATCTTAAAAAAAAAAAAGTCCACCCTTTTTTTCCTCTGCTCTGGGATGCTAGGGTCACCCTCCTGCAAACTGTGTGTCTGCTTTACCAGCTGTTGGACTCTGGCAGTCAAGGAGCTGGATGGGGACTGGAAGGCCAGAGAAGTGGAAGGGGTATGCTCCTCCCTGCTTCCTTCCTGTCTGGTCCCTGTGAGTGTCCCTCTAGCACAACTTCTTCACCCCATCGGGGGCAATTCCTTCCATAGCTGCAGCCAGTCCAATTTACAGTTTCAGCAAGACTTGTAAGACCAGGCTCATCACATCCACCCCTTCATCCCGAGACAGGACTACATCCTCTTCAGAGTTTGGGTCCAGCCTCATGAGCTCCTTCCTCTGAGCTCAGGCACAGCAGCACCAGCCAAGCATCACTTCCTCCTCGAGATCCAGGGTTTCAGCTCTGTGGGGTCCTTTAGTCTGTGGTTTGAAGTTTCAAGAATTTTAACATCTTTCTTTTATTCGCTCAGCCCTGGGAATGGTAGCTTCTGCTTGAAATTGCTATACTTATGATACCTTAGAATTTTCTTCTTGTCTCATTAGTCATCTGGTTAGTGACTTCAATTTAGTTAATAGTTTTTTACATTAATTTTGTTCTCAAATCACTGGTATAATTTCAGTTTCTTGATTGAACCCTGACTTATAGATGGGGCAGTGGTGGTGGTGGTGGGGTGGAGGTTGGGGTGTGATTGGAAAGGTGGGAGAGAAAAAGAGGAGAGACTGATTCCATTTCCTTCCCCCAAAACAGGTGGTCAGTCTGCCACAGCCCTGGGGGAAGAGAAGTCTTAACTTTTAAATTGAAAGCCTATCTTATATTGTACTGGATATTTTAAGTTACTAATTTGAGTCTGGGTTTGTGTCTATAGGATAATACAGGCATTTCTATTACTTGATAATAACCTTAAAAGTGAAGGGACTTGCCTGAGTTTTCATCCAATGGCAGAGGAAGGATTACCTCCACTGAGAAGATTTAAAGGGACAGTAGGAGACAGCAGTGTAGTAACTTTATTGATCACATCCCATAAATCCTGCTTATTTAGCATACTGGTTATAATCTGAAGCTGTAATTGAAATGTCTCCTAGAACTCGTAAATAAAACTCTCAAAGCATAGGATTTCTTTCATGGGGAGATTTTTACTGCTGATTATGCAGGCTCTCTATTTCTTTTTTAGTCAGTTTTGGTAAGTATATTTTTCTGGAATTTTTCCATTTAAAATGTAAGTTCCCTGGTTAGCTTTCTATAAAAGACCAACCCTAAAGGCCCTTGTTGGCAACCCTGTCAGGACCCCTCTCACTCTTGAGAGTTTTTTCTGTATCTTCACTTAATAAACTTCTATTGCTTTACTAAAAATAAATAAATAAATAAATAAATAAATAAATAAATAAATAAATAAATAAATAAATAAAATGTACATCTTCAAACTTATTGGCATAAGATTTTTCTGTCTTGTATTTCTATTATATTTGTGATCTTCGTGTATTCTTCTTTTTTATTCCTAATATTATGTGTGTCTTCTCTCTATTTTTTAAATTTCCTTATTCAGTCTTTCTAGGGATTCATCTCTTCGGAGACCCAAACTTTGGCTTTGATGATCATCATTATTGTCTCTGATATCTGTTTCTTTAAGGTTATTATTTTCTTCTTTTTACTTTCTTTGGGAATATTCTGTTATTTTGTTTCTCCCTTGTTACATTTGATGCCCCTCTTATTAATTTTAAACTTCTCTTCCTTTTCCAAAGAAATATTTAAAGCTATAAATTTTCTTTTATGTGTACTTTGGACAACTCATCATCATCTTCTGTTGCAGCATATTTCCCCTTGATCTGAATGAGTTCACTACATACTGTAAATTTTGAGTGCAGTTCTTATTTTTCATACTTTATAATATGATTTCTTTTAGTTGATGTGTTTAATTTTTAAGATCTTTATTGAAGCATAATATAGAAAATGTAAACATATATACGTAAAACAAAAATGCACATGTCATAAGTGTATAGCTTGAAAAAGTTTCACAAACTGTATACACCCATGTATCCATAGATTAGGATTTAAACACAGAGATATAATGAGCGCTCTTTTTTATTGAGGTGGAAATTCATATAAAGTTAGCCATTTTGAAGTGTACAATTCATATAAAGTTAATCAGATTGAAGTGCACTCACAATGTTGTACAACTACCACGTCTGTCTAGTTCCAGCACATTTTCATTACCTCCAGAGAAAACCCCAGACCCATTAAGTAGTCATTCCCCACTCCCCTCTCCTCCCAGCCCCTGGCAACCACAATCTGCTTTCTGTCTCCGGATTTTAATTGTGCTTTTAAATTTCTAAATGTATAATGGTTTCAAGGTATAAGTTTTACTGATTTCTAACTTAATTGTGATGCAATCTTATGATACTGATTCTTTGAAATTTGTTGAGATTTGATATTTGCTTTATGTCCTAATTCATCATCAGTTTTTATAAATGTAATATGTGATCTGGGAAAGAAAGCATATTCTCCAGTGGTTGAGTGCAGTGCTCTATATAAGTCCTTTACATCAAACTTGTTAATTATGTTGTTCAAAATCTTTATAACTTTACTGAATATTTTTGGCTGTTTGATCTATCAGTTACTAAGAAATATGTGTTAAATCTCTCACTCTAATCAAGGAATTGTCAATTACTCCTTGAAGTACTGTCAGTTCTTACTTTCATGATAGACTTTTCAGATAACACAGAGAGGCACTAATCAAAGCAGAAACTTCAAATGTGCTACATTTGCAAAAAGACTAACAGCTGCCTCAGTCTTTTCTGCCATATTAACCCAGTTTGGTCAGAGTCTTCCCGGAACAAGGTGGTCCTGCTGTCACTCTGTCTCCCGCCCCCTCTTTTCATTTCTTCCATTCTAGAAATTCATCTATTTAAAATCAAAAGAATGGTCTAAGATGATGTTGAATAAAAATACTCTAGATCCTTGGGATTTCCTTATTTCATTTCAGCAATAGAGTTAAAATTTCAGCAAAATTATTGTTTCACCAACCACCACACAACCTCATGGCTTGCCATTGTCCACAAGGGTCTCTGTGCACCAAAGGCGGTGTTAGGTTGGGGGTGGACTGGGCACCGTTGGCATCTCTTGTCTGTGTATTCTCCAGGGTTGTGCTGCCTCTTCATCAGGCAGCAAATGATGAATAATGAGTCCGTCCACACCAGGGGAAGCCTCTGTTCATTTGCTACCTTAGAACAGGAAAAAGAAGCATATCTAATGAATTGTTGGTCTGGGTCCAGCATCCTTATTATTCATTACCTTCTACATCGAATACAATTGCTAATTGAAATAATTACTGTCTTTACCTGGTAGCAACATTCTATTTTGCTTATAAGACAGGCTGACTGATGTGCTTTGAAAAAGCAGTGAAACCTCTATCACTGAGCTTGGATTCATTTCCCTTAGCAGATGATTTCAATAACTGCACATCATTTTTCATCTGGCAAGTCAAGGGAGGCCAAGTTTTGAGAGAAATAAAGCTTGTTCCTTGGAGTGGAACAATGCCAGGGAAGGTGAAACAACTTCATTTTCCACACAGACGTGTGGGCCCTTCTAGAGTTTGCACAGAGAACTGCCTGGATTTGCTCAAATCTGCTGGTGGTGCTCACACTAATTGGCTGGTTGAAATGGGCCAGTCAGCTGGCAGCTGTTTGGGCCGCTCCAATGGCCCTGGGGTTGCTGATTCATTTCTCTCCCTCAGACTGAATGGCCTATTATTTGAAAGAGAGAATGGAGCCAACCCAGTTTGCTCCAACTTGCTGTGGGTGACCTAGGAAGCAGGCCACCTCTCCAGTGTTTCTCCTGAACTTTGAAGAAGTCATTTGCACCTTAGTACAATAAACCACTGCCACATCTGATGCCCTTGAGCCCGGAGGTGAGAGATGACCAGAAGTTCTGCAGGGATAACGCATAGTATGAGGAAGAGATAACATGCTGAGGTGTGTGAACTGGTCAGCTGGTATACCTTACAGTATTTTTGGATTTGTTACCCCACCCAGGATTAACCTCCTCCTACTCATTTTCCGGAACTGAGGAGCAGTGGCAAAGAAAAGGACCATGGAGCAGATGATGCCAACTATTGTGGTAATTAACACTTTCATACTCATTTACACAGCCTTGAATGCATCTAGCCAATCAATGAATGCATCTAGATATATTTACTGAACATCTGTGATATACAAGGAATGGTGCTAAGTGCTGTGAGGGAAATAAATAGAAATCTAAGAAGATCCACGGCCCTCAAACTCTTTTTAGGCTGATGAGGGGGCCCAGATGTAAACACAAAACATTAAAGAACAATGCAGGGGTCCAGAGAGACCAAAGTAATATACATTAAGAAAATGCCAAACTCATTTCTCACAGAAGGTCAATTTCTATCCACCTCCAGAGGTATAAATGACTTGAATCTTCAACAGAACTATCTCTGGTAATAATAATGAACATAGGCGACATTACTGAGGGCTTACTGTAGACAGAGCATTTGTAAGCACTTTACCCATTATTTTATTTCACTTTTATAAAAATCATTAAAATGTAGCAAAAATCTTAAAGAGTGAAACATGATTCAGGTTTAAAACTAGATGTTACAATAAACACTTTGAACTTCAGCCTTGGCCCAGTTTGTGTCAAAGCCTGGAACCAAGATTCTTCTTTATCTTATAACATGATGCATGTTGCATCTGAGAAGCTGATTCAAGTCCAGGCCAGATTGTGATATAGACCCATAAGTGTACAACAGGACTATGTACTCCAGGGTGCTGGGCATGTTCCCACTTGTGACACTGCATTGTAGGGGGCTAAGGGCAGGAGGCAGCAACAAACCCTTGTTAATAAGAAAGCTTCATGAAGAGAAAGCCTTTCAAAGAGAAGTCAAAAGCTCTATTTACAGATTAGGAAGGAAGGTAGAGATTGAAAATTTCACCCTATAAACTTTCAACCCAGCGTCTCAAGATTAGATATCCATTATCAAATTAGCATTTTTTAAAGATTTAATTTATTTGAGAGAGAAAGAGCATGAGAGAGAGCACAGAGTGGGGGAGGGTGGGGGCAGAGGGAGAGACAGAAGCAGATTCCTGCTGAGCAGGGGCTTGATCCCAGGACCCTGGGACCGTGACCTGAGCCAAAGGCAGACCCTTAACCAACTGAGCCACCCAGGTGCCCCCCATTATCAAATTAGTTTAACAAAGGAGCAACTTGGATCTAATATGGCTCAAACATTTCCTTGGAATATCAGAGTATAAAACTATGATCTTTATAGCTTGACTTGTTAGTGTTCTCAGGAGGCTTCCTCTGGGGTAGTACAATAAGGAGCAAATAAGATGTAAAACTGAGCACATCACCCATTTGCTTCAGAATCTTGCCCTTAACAATCAAGTCAGGCCCCATCTCCTCCAGGAAGTCGGGGTTGAGTTACATGCCCTCCTCTGTGCTTCCATTTATTGCAGTTGTGTTTCTGGTTGTGACTTAATCCCTAGACTTTATGTTCCCTAAGGATAGAGACATATCTTACTCATTTTGTAACCCTAGCGCTTGGCATAGAGCTTGACACATAGTAGGTGCTCAACAGATGTTCAGGAAAGGTTGGTTGGGGTCCCATTTGAGGGTTTTATAGTCAAGGTCCCCTGGGAGAGGTGGGGATAAGGTAGAGTGGGACTGTACATGTGTCAAGTGACTGGATGTTTGCTTTCCCCAGGGAGGAGTGTGGTGTGTTACAGATTACTTGGTCACCTCTGCCTTCCGTGGGCTAACCTCCATCCCACTGGAGACATGCCCTACTCAAGAGGGGGCATGTAGACCCAGGCCTGGCCCTCTCCCCTAGTGGGGGGAGGGTAAAAATGAGAGTAGGTGTTACTGACCTAAGTGGATCAACCATGAGGATGGGGAAAGAAGAAGGATGGAGGCTGAGTCACAGTGCAAGATGCTATGGCTGGTTGGGACCCCCTGTACAGCAGTTATTGTCAGGAAGCCCAGCGTGGAAAACTGGAGGGACAGAAGCCCCGAAAACCTGTGGCCCTCTGTCTGCCAGCAGTTAATAAGAATCACGATGAGATTAATAAACTTATAGAGGGCTGACTATCAGGCATTGGTCTAAGCACTTCATTTATTTAACAGGAAGAGCCGGGGAAGACTAGGTCCAGGTCCTCTGAAACCTGCTCGCTTCTCAGAGCAGGAATCAGCACCGTTTCAAGCACCTCCTCAGGGTAGGTCAAGATTAGAGTGAAGGGGGCACATGTAACCCTGAGGTTGGCCTTGAAGAATTAGAGAAGTCACCAGCGGCGCCCCCAACCTGACCCAGCAGCCAAGCCTCCAGTAGGTGGGGGCTTGGGGGCTTTTTCTGCTGCACATCCCCACGAGCCCAGGGCAACTCCTTTGCTGGGGCCTTGCCAAGCAAGCCCTGGCCCCTGGAATCTGCCTGTCAGGATTAAGCACCCTGCTGGGCAAGAGTATCAGTATGGATAGAGCATGGCATCTTTAAACATTGTACAAGAGCAGAGGGACACCCAGGTCCAAATGATAATATTTTGAAAAGCCACAGGGAGCCTCTGCTGCTGTTGAGTTAGAATTGCTCCTCTTTCATGTGATTAAAGAAGCCCTTGTGGGTTTTTTTCTTTTCCTTTTTTTTTTCCTTAGAGACATTAGCAGGGTTTCCCCCCTCCTACTACAGCGCTGAATGATTTCTAAGGTTTCTAAGTGCATCGCGTTTACATTTACTACTCGTTGGTTCTCTAAATGAAAGGCAGACTGAAACACATTAACGAGCCTCCTGATTACTGCAGCCCTTGAGAAATTAATTAATGACAATGCAGCATACACTTACCATCCCTCCTACTCTCTGTGACTGGAATGGCACAGAGCGTCACCTTCATCCCCACCCAACCCAGAGTCACCAAGCATCTTCAGTCGCGGAGCTGCCTTTCCTGGCACATTTTGGACTGCTTTTCCTAGGAAATGCCATTCCCTGGATAATTAAGTGATAGCGTCTTTCTCATGGCCTGGAATTTTCCCCCCTGAACCTGGTCCCTTCCTTATACTAACAGCCAACAATTAAATGTTGCTTAATATGTCAGGGACTGTGTGTGTACACATTTGCTTATTAAATTTCACAATAATCCTGGGGTAGGGGCTACTGTTATCCATCTTACATTTTTCATCTTTCATCTTTACATGTACATCTTTCACAAAGGGTGAACTAAAGGTACTGAGATGGCAGTTAAGTCACTTAAGGTAACACAGCTAGTAAGCAGCAGAACCATGATCTGAACTCAAAGGATTGGCTCAAAATCCATCCCTTAACCACTAATCACATCTACAGCTACTCAGAGGTATATTTGTATTTGGGATCATTTAAATCCAAAATGTATATATTGAGATGGTTTCCCACTCATCATGACTCAGTGCTCTCTGTGCTACTTCTGCCTGAAGGGATATCCTTCAATGACCTTGATTTGTCTCCCTAAGACAGTAGAAGAGCCAACACAGAGAACTTCCATTTGGGCCTTGATGAATTCCAGGGTGATTTCATAGCATCCAGGCTTCTCACATCTAGGAGACAGGAATTGAGCTCTGCACCCAGGCTCCTCGTTTGTTAATGTGTTTCCTCTTCTCTTCTGGGAAGGAATGAAGGAGGTCTTTACAAGAAGCATATTGTCTTGTGGACATTCTCTTGTCAATGCAGAAAAGGCTGGGAAGAAGTTGGCATGATTATTCCCGTTTTGTAGATGAGGACTCTGAGGCTCCAAGAGGATTACTAACTTATCTGCTCAGGATCATGCAGAGTTTTTTTTCATCTGACTCTGTAAAATTGCAAAGCTACTGATTCCAAATTGCTGTTCTTTCTACCAAACTGTGCTCTGTCCATGTGGTTCTGCTGAATGAACCATTCACCGAGATGGCTATCCTTTTATAATCACTCCTGATCTCAGGGCTACCATAAGAATGAAGCAGCCTTACACATGTGAGTCCCACACGTCAGGTTCTTGAAAGAGCTGTGCAACTTTCTGGCACCTCTAGGAAGCCCTGAAAGAAAGCCAGAGTAGCATTCGTGGGCATCCTGGTAGCAACCACAGAGAAGCAGCAAAGACTCAGGAGGCCACCCAAAAAGCAACTTTGATTGAACAATATATTTTTTTAAGATTTTGTTTACTTATTTGAGAGAGAGAGAGAGAGTGAGAGAGAGAGATAGAGCACAGGCGGGGGGCAGGGGGCAGAGGGAGAAGGAGAAGCAGACTCCCCACTGAGCAGGGACCCCGATTCGGGGACTTGATCCCAGGACTCCAGGATCATGACCTGAGCAGAGGCAGACACTTAACCGACTGAGACACCCAGGTGCCCTGAACAATATCTCTAAGAGAGAAAATATTCATACAGGAAAGTGGTTTGCATGGTGAGCAAAGCATCTTCCAGGCAACACATAGCTTTAAAAGTATTCTTGCCTCCACACTAAGCCCTGAGGGTCTGGGAGTGCCTTTCAGTACAGTAGCACGGAGCATGAGATCTTACAGGTTAGGAACGTGAGGGTTTGGGCTGAGTTTAGAACCAAGCTCAAGCCTCAGTGCTGCCATGTCCTAAGTATGTGAGCTGAGGCAAACTGGGTCATCCTTCGGCCTCTGTTTCATCATCTGTAAAACGGGAGAATCATTGTACCTGGGTCATAGGACTCTTGTGACAATTAAATGAGATGGTACATAAAAGAAGCACACAAGGTAGGCAAAGTGCTTGATTACACACATAGTAAGCACTTCACAACATCAGCTGTTTTTAATGTCTACAGCACCCTTTGCCAGATTCCTCCTTCCCTGGAGCACCTGCTGTTCCCTCTGACACGCTCTCCCTTCAAGACTCTTTGTTCAAAGGGCAGCTCATGGGCAGACCTTCCCTGGCCACCCCACCCAGAGCAGCTCAGATCCTCCCTCTTTGCTTTATGCTCTCTATGGCACAGATCGCCACCAGATGCTGTATTCTACATTAATGTGTTTCTCGTCTGTTCCTTGTCTGTCTGCTTCCATCAGAACACTAGCCCCGTGATGACGGCAAGTGGGTTCACTACTGAAGTCTCCGTGCCGGGGGCAGCGTCGGCCACGTGGAGGGGACCAAGCAAATACGCAGTGAAGGCAGGTGAGTACAACTCAGCTCTTCTGAATCGACTGCGATTCTATACAGTGGTGCACTCTAAACCTGGGTGTCAGGCCCTGGAGCAGTTGTGTATCTGGGACCAGCCTCCCGCAGAGTGCCGGACAAGCCTGACCCGCCGAGGTGCTGAGCCGTGCTCCAGTGAACCCTACAGCCCTGAGGTGTAAAGCCAGACACCGCACCAGGCTGGAGGCCATACCCATCGGCCGGCCCTGTTCTCCTTTCTCCGAAAGTTATAGCCTGAAGTGCGAATTGCCTGCCGTGGGAGCTCCCCTCCCTGGCAGGCTCCCCGTCCTTCTCCCTCCCGCCCTCCCTCCAGGAATCATTCCTGGGTGGTGCAACTTCCTCAAGGACAAAAAGCAAGTCTTAGAAGTAACCTGTGGCAATGGATAGTTTGCTGCTTTTAAACTCACGGGTTCTTTTTAATGGCAGCATGTAGCTCAGATCCCGTGATCTTCAATAAGTAAAAGCAAAAGTGGGTTTTGCTCCCGGCTCTACCTGCTTGCGGCTGAGGGGCAGCAACCTGTGTTCCTGATGTTAGGGCCCCGTGGCTGGCAGCTGGTGGGAGAGGTGTGGGGGCTTCGTGGGCGAGGAGCTGCCTCCCTACGGCTGCCAACTGCAGAAGGTCAGAGTAACCGAGGGTTAGCGAGCATTAAACATTCCGGCACTGCCTCACCGAGCTTTCACACCTCCCATTAAGGTCCACGTAGGCAGTGCATTGAACCTAATAAGGCACATCAGAACCACTAGTGGAGACGGATTTAGAGCCTCCTCAAAAGGGCACGGAGGTTTTCTAAAGTGCAAGGCTTGTAAATTCTAAGCACTTTCAGAGATGGTAATAAGCAGATGTGTGTTTCCCAAAGCCTGCATAGGGCAGAGACATCAAACTAGAGGGAAGAATAAGTTAAATAAAATAACAAAGAGCAAAAAGGAGAGCATGCTCCATGAACTCTAGCTTGACCTTACAATTCCGATACTTCATGTTAGAATTGAGTTGCTCTGAATCCACGCTGAGCAGTGAGATTAGCAAGGTAAGGATTCTAGAAGTTGCCTTTGGTCCTTAACTGTGAATTATTGTCTGTACCTAGACATTGTTTTTCCACGTTAATATATATGCTATATAATGTAACTATATACAGTAACTACTGGATAGGGCACATGAATGAATGCTATCATTAAGAACTGTATTACCCCAGGGCACCTGGGTGGTGCAGTCTGTTAATGGTCCCACTCGTCATTTCAGCTCAGGTCACGATCTCAGGGTCGTGGGATCAATCCTTGCATTTAGTTCCACGTCTTAGCCTACTGATAACAAGTTCACCTCTGAGGGTGATTTAAAGTCCCTCAGGACCCAAATTCTGTTGGTTGCTAACCCTGTGGTGATGATCCTTGCAAGTGTTGTAAGCTTCTGGCCTCCTGGGGCTTCCGTGATTGAGGAATGTATGCTAAAGGTGGCAAAGAAAGGAATGGTCTTGCAGAAGAAAGACAAGGTACCTTGGAGCAGGAGTAGCAACTGGGTTTCTTTTATCATTGGACTTCTTGGCCAGTCAGCCTCAGGGCCTGTGAAGGCTGTTCCATTGTTAGATCAGAGGCCCTGCATTTGAACCGAGGAGGATCCTAGGAGAAGGAAAGGCCTTGCCCAGAGGCACTGACTACAAGGCATAATGCTCCAAAAAGCCCAGGCCTTGCCTAAACCTGAAGCCAGGATCCAGAGCCCCTTCTCTAACGGCTCTGAGACTTGGATTTGTTTATTCCTCACTGTGGAATTGTGTGCCTGCAAAGAGAGGGCTGTGTGTTGGCGGAATCCCATCTATTGTATGAGCCAGGCCTAGGCCTTCCCTGGAGACAGTTCATGGCCCACAGAGCTTGGGGAATTCCTCCCTTGCAGCATGTCAGCTGCACCCTTTTTACCTGGGATTTTGGCAACATGGATGCTTTTTTAAAGGGTAGATTGATTTCTTGGCAAACAAAAGGGCACTCAGGCTCCAGGGCCCTGGATGGGCCCCACAAGTCTCCTCCTATGCCCAGAGCCAGGGCACCTTCTCCACCCAGGCGTCATCCTCCCTCCTGGGCCCTGTGGGGAGGCTCCCTGCACAGCTCTGGACGACAGCGCTGCCTCCCAGCTGAGAAGGATGGACAGAGCGCCGCAGGCAAGGCTGCTCTGTGGGAAAGAAAGCCCAGGCATCTGCTTGGGGCAGAAGCTCCAGGGTGCCCCGTGAGGAAGCCGTCAGGGCCCTGGGTGTGCAGTCAGGGGAGGCTGATAGGCTGCGTGCTTGCTGCCAGCCAAGAAACACAGAATGTTCCTTCACAGTACAGCAGGTCCATCTGGGTGGGGAGCTCCTGCACAGCCAGCCTCTCTGGGACCGTGCCTTTGCCATTTGGAAGGCCACAAGCCATCACTGTTCATTCAGCTGCCCCTCTGTGAGGCCAAGAAGGCTGGCCCCATTGTCCCCCTGCCCTCGGCTCCCCTCCGTCCTCCCCCATGCAGCCTGGGGTCCTCTCTGGCTGCTACCTGTCACTTATGAAGGTACATCCTTTAGGAGTCTCTCTTGAGACTGGCCAGGAGGAGAAAGGCATATTTGAAAGAGCACATGAAGCTTTGGAGCATTTATTAAAGGCATCTGGCCAATCTCCTGTCAGGTGTTAAGCCTTATGTCTACAGCAAGGAAGAAACACATCTATGGAGTATACACAACTGCTCAGGCAGAGAGCCTGCTGCCGCAGCACCATTAATCTCATCATCATCATCATCATCATCAATCATCATCATCAAAAAGCATCTTCCAGGCCCCTGATTGCCATGACAACCAATAAGGAGGGAGACTTCAATGGAAAGTAGTTGAAGGGAGGAGGCCTTCATTCCCATCCCAGCTCTGCTCCCAAGTGCCTCTGTGCCTGTGAGCATGGCATGGTTTCCCTTGGCCCTCTCAAATTCTTCACTACGATCGCAGATACAGCCCTCAGCCTCCACATTTTCCCAGCCCATGCCCACTGCAGACATGGCTAATCAATCACCATCCCGCAGAACCTTAGATCATAGGCTCAGAAACCTTAACAGAACTCCCGACAGCCATTGCTCACTGATTTGAAGGGCACTCAAGATGAAACCGATTTGCCGTCACTGCGCTGATGGAATTTATAACCTGGGAATGGAATTCTGCACCAACAACAGGCTAGGTCACTCAGAAAAAAACAAACAAAACAAAACCCAACCTTATCAATAAAGCAACAGATCTACCTGAGCAATCTAGACTGGCCAGATTAATGATACTTAGTTACTAGGCAAAGATAACTTCACTGAATTGTTTTATCTGAGTAGGCCCAGGGCTAAAGATATTGACGCACGCCCCAAATCAGAAATGCCCCTCTTTACTGCACAGCTGAGGAAATGAAAGCCTGTGGTTGTGACTTCCCTGGCCCCCCAGCCTGGCAGTGGCCATGTCAAAAACCCAGCTTTTCTGGTTTCCAGCCCAATGCTCTCTCTACCCGCTCTACATTGTCTTGTGTGGCAAGGGAAATGCACACACACACACATACACACACGTACACACACACAAAGCTATTTCAGGTACAGGCAATTAATGGTTCTCAATAGTGTTTGTGGTGAAAATTAATGAACCAATGGCCCCTCATTGAGACCATAAAAAAACAAATATCCAAACACTGCATAATTGAACAGCAAGTCAGATCTCCTTCGTTTTATTGTAACTCCACCACTCCCTGTTTGCACAGCTGGGGAGAGTCATCCATTTTCGTCCTTGGTTTTCTTGCCTGTACAATGGGCACCAGTCATGCTGCCTGTGCTCGCCTCACCAGGTTAGAGAGGCTAAAAGCAAAAGGTGTGGCACATCCAGTTAAGCAGCAGGTGGCATGAGAGGAGTGGTGAGCAGTCAGGTAGTGGCTGTCATCCTGTGATTGATGGCAACATTTAGCAAATGCCAGGGTGCGTGGGATAAATGCAGCACAGCCCAAGGATGACTCAGATGATTCCAAGTGGGGTCAGGCAGGCTTCAGAAGCAGTCTTTATTTGGATGAGAGTGTCAGGAAAAGGGAAAACCCAGAGAGGTGTACCAAAGGACTGTTGATGAAGGACTGTTCCAGATCAGTGGGAGACCCCAGGGGTCCTTCCCTCCTCTTTCTGCTTCAGATGTCTGGCGGAGGGCTCTGACAGCAGGGCAAAGGCTCAGGATGGAAGCACTACATGCATGCTTAATGAGTGTTAACTGGGGAGCAGGTGAAAGCATAAGGACCAGCGTGTATCAGATTAGCACACAGGGAGTCACCCAAACACACCTCCTCCCGATTGCATTTATCAGGGCACGTCAGGAGCCTGGATTTGCAACCATATGCTCACCACACCAAAGCCTTTGCCGTAGGAAGTAGTGTGTTTGCACAAAATATCTTCCTAGGACACGATTTAAATATGTGTTTCTCCCATGTCTGGCAATTTGCCGCACTCCTGCAAAGGGCTGAATCTGCTTTGTTCTTTTGCTTGAATTGAGGCAAGACCTGAGAGCAGAAGGCTAAGGAAAAAGAGTCCTCCGGATTGGCCACTAGATGGCGAAAGAGTTCTACCAATGAGACTGTGAATGGCCCAAGGCCCTTTTAGTGAAATTCTGAAAGGAATTTGTAGCTTCCAAGAATTTCAAAGCAGGATGGGGCCTTAGAGGTCGTCTAGTCCGACCCTATCATTTTAAGGCCAGGTAAGAGGAGCTCAGAGAGATAAAATACCTTGCTTGGTTTAAACAACCAGTTAGTGCAAATCTGGGATTAGAAATCAGATCTCCTGCCTCTGTATCAATCTCATTCAGTCAAACCACCATGTTTTCCTTTCTCTACTTAGGTTGTCTGGGATTTTTAGCCACTACTGAAGTAGGAGGACATTTCAGTATTGGGGATTAAACACAGGAGGATCAGGAAGGAGGTGGAGTTGCTAGATCTCTTCCCAGTGGTGTGGACAGGCCT